TTGTGTATCTATATATATACGAAAAAACATTTAAAAAGATTGTGGGTGGATGAGTATAATATTAATACGTTATGGCAAAATTATTTGATCCAAATTGAATAGTAATTTCTTCTCATTGGTTACCGACAATTGCAACATGCTAGGTCAGTGGGTTTTGTACCTGGTACTTCCCTTCATCATTTTGTACATCATCTATATATCATAAATAAATTCCCTTCATCATTTTCCACATCATGTATATATATCATAAATAAATGCACACATAAATTAGGAAAGCAAATTGTAAAATTTAAAATAAATAGAAATTAATTTCGACTATATAACTATCGACCCATATATTGTTATTTTTGTTTCTATCTTGAAACAAACCAACATTTTAATTTACATTCATGCATTTTTGAAATGACATTATTTACTTACGTTAGTCTTAAATGTAAGTTTAAATTGACGTGACGTAATTTTAAATACACACTTCATTAAACAACATAATTGAACAAGTTTTATTATTACAAATACAACACTAAATTTATAAAATTAAAATAAAATACCTTTTACTATAAACTAATTAGTATCAACTCAGAAAATAAATCTGAAAGCATAGGGGTGTTGAGTCCTCTAATACCAGTCAAGTTCCAACATCAGGTAACTATGAAAATTAAAATAAAAAAAAATACTACATAATTGTTCTCAAGTATAGTTAAGAACATGATGGTATCAAATTATTGATTTCGAAACCTAGCTTATTTTCAAACCTAATATATGGCATAATGATTGTTCCTTCTATGTGACAAATCCCATTTCTATAGTGCTGTCTAAAGCATGAGGCCACTCAAACCACTATATATGAAAGACAATTAACACTATAATCACAGATGATGTAATGATTAACATAATTATGCTCTATCATTTTCCTCTTCCCCAAATTTCAAAGGTATAAAAAATCACTGAACATGTCCACAGTTTTATTGTTTTAAGGGGATCAAAGATGCCACTATCACTGTCATTGTTTAGTGTGAAATTTTATTTTGGACACAATAACACTACTTTTTTTTCTTTCTTTAGTTTGGTGAAGTTCTTTTCCAAATCAAGAAAGCTAAATTATGAACTTAATTAGGGATGATTGAATAAATTTAATACAAGAAAATAAAAAGAAAAAATTAAGCTTCTCTAAAAATTAAAATTAGTTTCCCATAAGTTAATTTGTAAAAAATAATTCATATTAATTTCTCCAAAAATTATTTTTTTTGTATAAATATTTACAGATAAGTTTACCAAACATTTCCTTTCCTTAGTCCTAATTTGTTGTTTGAGTTATCATTAACTCTTCTAGTGTTATGTTTTTCTTGCAATTTTCCCTTCTTATTGATTCAAATAATTTTATCTTTTTTTTTTTTTTTTCTTAAGCCAGATACCAATGCAACTATACAATCATGTCAGTAATTTATGCATAATTGTCAAAAATAAATCGTACAGATAAAAATTATTCATTCTGAGGAAGCCATGCCTCAATTATTACTTTTTCATGTCAAATCAGATAAACATAGCCTTTTAATTTTACATAAACAATTATGTGAACAACATTACTCCTCACATTACTTCAACGAAAGGTGGCACCCCCTTTTTATTGGGAAAAAATATGAAAAATTAGTCTCCTCCACTAAACACACACTAACATTTCATGGGTCCAATTTCTTTGCTTTAGGTAGTATACCCATTGTTAACTAATAAGATCTAATATAGTTAATAATCTTACTTTGATTATTTGATAGTACGAAGAAAATTAAGCAAAATTTATTTTAGTAATCTTTACGTTTTAAAAGAAATTAGTTTTCAACTATTGATTGAAGATATAAAATGCTTAAAAAAGGTATACCATTCATTCCGTTAATAATATTCATTCATCAATATTTCTTTTACTATTTCTTGCCTTTACGAATATGGACAAACCAATCAACATAGAAGTTCCTAACAAAAATTATTTGGAGGGTTTCTCGATCGATTGATTGAGAATATTTAAAGTTAGCAAAGATGAGCTTTTTTTCTTTTGTTTATATTCAAAATCTAAGAGAATAGGAATCGTATTTCGCCATATGCAACATCACTTCATATGGCTTACATGCTTGACCTAAGACAACAAAACAAAATAACAAAATGAAGATACATCTTTTGATTGTTTCTATTTTATTTATAAAAAAAATACTTGTTTTAATGATAATTTTCCAAACTTAATATATTTTAGATTAAAAAAATTGAATTGTCAATTGTGTGAAAACATTTTAAAAACACTTTTAAAGACCAAAAGTGAGAAAGACATTAAATATTATAATTAATAGTTAAAGAATATTTATTGATTATTGTTACTTTTTTACTTTCACGAAATCATTAGAGGATCTCAAATGAGAGATACTCATGGGGGTATTTTAATGAAATTTTAGTTACTTGAAGCAATTCTCTATTTTGACACGATGATGCAAATTACTTAAAATAATTTTCAATTCTTTCAGCAAATAATCAAATATCTTGGACCCAATTAGAACAATTAAGCAATTGTTACATACTCAAATCAAAATAAAAACATATAAAATTATGATTTTCTTGAAGTTTCTTATAATTTCTTTTATTTGAGCATAATTGAGTATGAATTACTTAGTGATAACATGGCATAGTGGGAACTACTAATCATACCTTTAAATGTACCAAGTAACTCATGTGAGTTGTTCCCATTGAAATTGTTCACATTTTTAAGGTGAGGGAATAATACCATGTTATAAAGGAGAGAAAGCCTCCAAATTAAAAAGACATTTATAAAGAATTTACATTTATCTTATGTGAAGGTTTGGATATATAATTAAATTTAAAGTCCAAATCATGCTAAGAGATAACAATAACTTAGACCCTCATTCTAAATGATGTGAGACTTTAAGGTGTACTAAAATAAACTATTTATAAAAAAACTAAGGGATAAGTTTAGCTAAATCCTCCTTCTAACATCAATGTCTCAACCTAAATCTATTGATATCATTAGGATTATCACATAATATATATATTCTACTGTGATGTTTGGTAATGTATTACAATATTATTTTAAAATAATATTTCAATGATTTATTAATTATTATTTGTCTCTAACTCTAGATAATATGAGACTTTTCAGCATACCAAATTATATGTTTAAATAAATTAGTTCTAATTTCATTTTACAAATTTTTATAATTGAAGTTAATTTAAATCACATCTAAATTTATAAATGTTAATAAAATGGATCAGCAATACATTTAAATTGAAAAAACAAAGAAAAAATAGGCTAAATCGAACAAACAAAAAGACGTGAACAGCAGGATTCGAACCTGCGCGGGCAGAGCCCACATGATTTCTAGTCATGCCCGATAACCACTCCGGCATGTCCACTATTATGCATTACGGGGAAATTTAAATTTCTTATAAATAAAAAAAGGAATGTCTAGAAAAATTGAAATTAAAGATAGTAATAGAAAGTGTTATTGGTTTTATACAATGGTACAGATAATATCTTTTTCATAATTGACAAGTTGGGTTAATAGGAAAAATACGAAGGTTGATTTTCTAAATGGAAAAATGGATATTCTTTCATAAATATCATGGAACATTGTATATAATTACTACTTAAAATAATTCATATTTTATAATATTTCAATCAAATATTTGTTATTTATATGTATTCTAAAATTTTTCTTAAAAAAATTATACTACAATTTTGATCATAATGTTAAGATTTTTAGAGTCTCTACTACTGTAATTATAATCACATCAATCACATTTGTTTGTAATATTTCACGACATTAAGAATTGGAATAAAATCACGACTAAGAATCCAATTTAGATTCTTCATATACTTTAGAGACAAAACTATGCATGCACAACAAGACTTGATGTATATAAGATAAATCACATTGATGATGCCATAGATGACTTAATTTTCAACTTTCCCCACTTTTGAGATTTAATGATAGAATTTTTTTATATATAAACTCTTGTCAATCAATTTATGATGCCATCAATATCAATTTTTTTCATTAATATTACCAAATATAAACTTATGAATGGTAAATTGTTAATGAATTAAAATACGTATAAGTATAATAAATTATTTTGTCTTAAGATTATATCAAGATTGAGATTATCATTATAATCATTGTTATGTTTATTATTATTCTGGATTTAATTATGTAATCTCAATTTTAGATATTTGCTAAGGGTTTAATTATCTTTTTAGTTCATATAATTTTAAAAACTTTATCTTTTAATTCTTATAATTAACAATTTTTTATTTTAATTTTTATGCATACCATTTTTTTTATTTTAGTCTCTTTAATCACATAATTTTTTCTTTTAGTCTCTATATAAATAGATGACAGAAACTAAAGAAAAAAAATGTAAAAGACTAAAATAAGATATTTTTAACTATAAAAATTAAAAGAGAGAATTTATAAAACTAAAAAAACTAAAAAAAACTTGTTAAGATAGTATCTTTGTTGAAATGATCCTTTGGACCAAAGGGGAAGCAAAAATAATTTGTATACAGTAAAAATAAATTCATTATTACATCCACCAAAAAGAATTAAAATAAAATAAAAGAAATTATAGACCTTAAACGATGGTTGCTAATTATTATCAAAACCTCATAGTACTTGTAGGGCCACAATTTCCTCCCCTTACAAATCGTAAAAATGTTTTTCAATTATATTGTTTCCTTCCAAACACACACAAAGCTTACGTTTTTTTTCTTCAACGCATATATGATTGCAAAGAAGTATCTCAATCAGTCATCATGATTTTTAATCTTCTCCAAGAATTTTTTGGTACTCATAATTGATAAGTGGATTGACTCTCTCAAGAAGGTTTCCTCCGTACACATGTAGTTTATATCAAGATACTTAACAAAAATCTGAACTTATATCACTACCAATCACTTATTAGTTATAGCTCACACAAGGTCATACTAAAGGCTAGTACTCCATCCATTTCTTCAAAATAATGACACAATTTACTGCTGCATATAATCTTAAAAAGAATGAGTTTAAAATTGGGAAACTAGTGGTGCTAAATGTTATCATCATCCGTAAAGTCTATCTATTTTCTTGTGCTCTCATACAAACTACAAAGCCTTCCTCGCAAAAGTATGAAGAAAAAAGGAAGAGAATATAAGGGAAAACTTGACTGAAAAAAGAAAAAGCAAAATAAAAGAAAATACATGAAAGATTCTTCAGACATGAAGAAATATGAATCAGAAAGAGAAAGATGAATGGCTGGAAAAGAATTGCAATGGTGGTAGCTGCTGATGGCAATTCACCTTCATAGCTTACTTCGCTTCATAAATATACAGACAAATACTATTCATCAGATTCCACAGTTGGACTCTGAGTACAACTTTCCATTTGATGGAGTTCCAACATTCTCTTTTCTGGATTACAGAGACCTGTAGGTAAACAATATCGGAAGCATTAGGAAAAATATTTTGCTTTCAATTGCACTACATGTTATTTATGAAATTTGACTTTGATACAGTTAGCAAAATAGTTGTTATTATATTGTCAATTAATTAGAAATCATCCAAAATATATGTTTTGAAGAAATTATTACAAAAGTCAACAATCTTACTGTACATGATATCTATAATTGAATAATATAGGTGCATTTTAAATAGATTAATTTGAAAATTGTAAGAAAAAAAATTCACTACATGAACTTTTTTGGGAGCTTTTTAAATGAATCTTCAAAAATTGAGAAGCGTTTTTGTATGTAAGATTCATTAGGATTATCAAGGGAAAGAAATATACATTGAGAAGCTTCAAACAAAAATTATCCATATTCACCAAATAAAAAAATCCCCCATGAGGTAGTCCAAATTACACAATTTTATTTTGGGAGCCGAACTGCGTGAATTTAATGCAATTTTCAGAATATCCAAGGGAAAGTCACCGTGCAAACTTCTGAACCAAGGAGAAATACCAACCTGAACATTTTGGAATATCCCACACAGCAATTGATGTGGACGTACACTGTTTAGCACAAAGTTCATGGTTATTCTCATAGTTGACATTCATTGCAAGCATCCAAGCTCCAATTGTAACATCCTCATTGCTGAACATCCGGAAACTGTGATAAAAAAAAAAATATGAACTAGGTCCATATCATCATTTTTGTGAGACTGACGAGAAAATAATGAAACAAATTTTAAAACTCTAGAAAAAATCTTTAAGGTCTAAAATATAATATCAATATTATAAGATATGTAAGAGTTGAATGGAGCAAAAGACAGCAAGAAACTACTAAACTCATCTAAGAAATCAAATGATTCATTTGAAAACTATAAGAAAAAAATTCCACTACTTGATGACCACTAGATAAAGAAACCATTCCATGATGATAAAGAATTCATGATCTAAAGAAATGAATTCGGTAAAAATATGTAGTTGAACACTCTTTACAAATGAACCTCAGGACTGCATGACATGAAAATTTCTGCCCTCTTACAAGTGTAAACTATGAACCTAAGGACTAAATGGCATAATTGAATAAACACAATACTAAAGGATAATAAAGTCGAGGAGAAAGGAAAACTTGCCTGTTATTCTTAAGTGCTACTAAGCTCGATACAACATCAGCAGAAAGAGCGTATATAGGACCATAAGCATGAAGAAAATATTCCTTTCCAAGCAAATTAGAAAGTGGCTCATACCTACAAGATTTATCAGTACAATTACTCCAAAAGACAAAGAAGTGATGAGGCTAGATATCACATTACATAACATTTTCTACCCTTTTCCTCTTTTCTCCTTGACCAAAAATGCCCTAAAAATCTAATATCAGAGGCCTAAAATTACTTAATCCAGTCCTTGGTGAAATGATGATAATTTTACATCTCACTATACGTGGCACTGCCATAAACGAATGACATCTTTTTTACAGTTTTCATACTTTTTGTTAGTACATGTATTTATATTTATTAGAACCTTAAAAATCAATTTACTGATGTACATCATCCAAAGTTCACATAATTTAATATCCTATTTTGATTAGATCTTAGCAGAATATATTTATTTTAATTCAACCACAGTTTAAATCACTGATCCTCAATTTTAGAATGTACACACTTCTGCAAATTTTAAATCTATGGTCTCATTCTCCGATACAGTAATACACTCATTTTAGAGTGAAAGCCACTAAAGGGGTACATTTAGCAGGAATAAAAGGCCGACCCAGTGTAGTAAGGCCTGATTAGTTATTTCTGAATGTTATAGGACAGTTATGGTATTTGGCGTAGCAGTTATTTGAGTGGTCTTATTTGTTGCAAGACAGTTATCTACTTGTGTTGGCAGTTATTTGTGTAAAAATACGAGTGTAGAGTAAATATGCTCATTATATAGTAGGTTGTTTCTGCTATGTTCCAAGGAAGAAAACTACATGTTAGGGGAGAAACCCTGTGTGTTGGTGTGTTCATTGTACTCACAATCACAATTCTAGACTGTAGCAGCATATTTAGTAGAAATTATATTTTATTTCAGTATCCAAACTCTTGAGCCCAACACTGCTTCTAACAACAGTCTGTTCCCACAACAAAAAAGAAAGAAAGAAATCTACATACAGAACTGGTAGGAATTTGATCTTTCAAAGTAGTTTAGTTTTAAAAAAAATTCAGGACGATGCATATAATTAAAATGTACTTCTGCTTGCAAAATTTATTGACAGACATTTGGTCTCTCGAGCTAGTAACTATTGATTTGTAAATCGCATGAATAATCTTAGTAATCTACATTTCTTTTTCTAGAAAATAACATCAAGCCGAGATGGCAACTGGTAAGTTCTAATATTCAACCCATGCCATGATAGAAGCACTTTAATAATGGAATCACTTATCCTCAACAAAAAAGAGATATGGTGAAACTGTAGAGTAGAGAAAAATTGAACAAAGGCAGGAAAAAATTAAAACTTTGAGATAAAATATACTTAATCTAAACAGAACTAACCATTTGAGTTTGGGATCAGTGAAAACAGGGCCCTTTTTCATGCATCCTAAGTAAGTCTGAGGGTGAGATCTCTCTTTTGCCAGCAGTAATGAAAGACGGTCTGACATTAAAAATGAATACGATTGAATAAATTTTATTTACAGGGGTAATCATAATCTCATAAACAAAGTTCATCACCCTATTTAACCAAGTTAGGCCCTGAAAGATATGGCACCTGGCCTTAAATATATGTCATCATCAGCTTTGACATAAAAGTCAGCTTCAAAAAGTGCATAAGCAGCTTTGAAGAAAGCCAACCTGTAATAAATGACAAAATTTAGCTTAGCAACAAACTAAAGACATAAAATTTAGCAGTTTAGTAATCCTCACTCTCACAGCACACACGTTTTGTATGGGAGCTTACTGTACTCCTCTTCGATATCCAGTTGAATGAAATCATCATATTGTGCCACTTCCTTCTGAAGTGCGGACATCTTTGATCTATGACTCGTTCTCCCGATCACAAACCTAAAAGCCAACCCAGTGGCTTCTTCCAAGCTGCAAGCAACAAAACAAATTGGGGATATCATAATGAGTAAATATAATACCCTCAAATTCAAACTAGGCCACAAAAATACAGAGAAGAACCTAGCAAGCACCATTCATGACTAAAAAAATTCCATGTAACAAAACTCATGAAGACATGACAGCGACCACATCCACATGACACTCCTGCATCTCATTTCTAATTCATTTAATTCCGATCTCTATTTCCCTTCCCTAACACACGTGTCACGTTCTCTCTCTTCTGTTTTTCTTATCTTTCTATCTCCTCAAAATGGGGATGTATCTAGTGTATGCTCATCAAAAACTCCCGAGCAATCTCATTTTCCAAATGCAGATCAGTGAAAACAGTTGCACAATAAAATCACACAATTGTGTTGATATTCAAGTGTAACTGAGAATGGAACTTTCATTAAAGTTCATAATTAAATCATTTCCTTTCTTCAACATCTATAAACACATGCGAAAGATGATAAACAAAGAAATAATTAAATACCCTTGGAGTGCATGCGGATCGGAAGGAAACCAAGTGTTCCTGAGAGATTGGCGCCTAGCGAGGGACCCGAAGCCGGTTTGAATACCAACAAAGGCCATAACTTTGTGTCTGTTAAGGGCGTGAGGGTTGCGGTGGGCGGAGGGGCGGTGGTCCCAGAGGACTCGAACCGATGTGGGGGTGCGGTTGGGGCAGAGAGGGTGTGGGAGGGGTCTGAGAAAAGCGAAGAAAGCGATGAGAGAGAGGAAGAGGCATGAGAGGATAAGGAAGGAGGGTGTGCGAGGTGGAGAGCGAGGGTATGACGAAGGCATGGCTTCAGGAAGGGAGGCCCGGAATTGGAACAAGCTCCGGGGCTGAGGGAATGCACCTTTGCCTCATCTCATCTCATCAAATCAAAGAGTGAAAGACAAAGAAAGGGATGCTGTGGTTTATGCTTAGCAAACAACCATCTGTTATTGGCAGTTACTGTTAGTTATACTTCTTTCTCATTATTTGCAAACAACCATTTCCATCTCATTATACCCAATACACTTGTTTAATTTAAATGAAAAATAAAGAATGATAAGAACAAATTAATAATTAACAATTCAGATTTTGGTAAGGTAAATCTATCTAAGTAAATTATAGTAACCTTATTTGAGGTATATACTACGCAAGAGAAACAGAGTTGAGGAACCGAGTTCAGTGAACAAAGGTAAAACGAATGGTAGAAATCGTTTATGACATGATTCGAAGAACAATAGATGGTAATAAGGAAATTATCTTTGACCAAACAATGTTCTTGGTTTATACAGACCCTTAGACTATATAGTGATCAAGACTGTACAACAATCTTATGCATAGTAGAATCAGCCATCCAAAAGAACTAGATAAGAAGTTCCCTCTTTGTTTCTTATTTCACTTACTATTTTATGTCTCAAATTTAGTGAAACTTCAAATATCTTAGTTTAATCCCTTAATCCCTCAATGAAGGTATTTTCAAATGCATTATTATAAGTGAAATTTGATGTTTTTTCTTCTATGCAAATTACCTTTACATCATAATTTTTTTAAGAACTTGTTATATAAATTTTTTGAAGTAATAAAAGAAAAAAAAATAAGTTAAACGTGGTTATTGTACAAAAGATAAAGTATAATTCTTTTAATAATGATACTTACATATAATTTATGTAAAATAGCCATATGTAAATTTACTTATAGTTATCTAATTAAAAATTATTTTAAATTATAAAAGCCAACAAACTTATCATATTATATATAATTACTTGTGATTAAATAATAGTGTAAATTGTTTGATCCGGCACGGCTAACCTATTTTCTGAAGAAAAAATATTCAATTAGATGTGAAAAGATATTCTAGTTTGACTGTCTCAATGAAAAGGAAAATTAAAAACAATCATCGTTAGAATAGCAATCAACAATAGTAAATCTAAATCATAAAATAAACAATGATATTAGTTGACAATAGTGATTACTATTAGTTATTGGTAATTACTAAGTTGGTCTCTGCCAGCAACCTAGAAGTTGGAACTTTGTTCGATGTTTATAAATTTTCTTAGGTACTAAACAATTTTCTTGGGTACTAAACAAGTTTCAAATAAGTTATCAACGACATAACCAATCATTTAAAATTCATTTAGTTCTTTTTCCTTTTTCTTCTGTTCTTTTATTTTTCTTTGCTATTCATCCTCTTCATCAATCACAAGGAATAATGGGTAGGTGCACAAATAAAGTGATTTGAGCATCCCAACAAATTCATTTAGTTCTTTTTCCTTTTTCTTCTGTTCTTTTATTTTTCTTTGCTATTCATCCTCTTCATCAATCACAAGGAATAATGGGTAGGTGCACAAATAAAGTGATTTGAGCATCCCAACGATGCTTATGTTGTAGCAAAACCTCCTTTGACATCTCATCTTCCTTACCACCAACTAAGGCAAGGCCATAATCATTTTGTTTGCCTTCATCTCATATGCTATACACTGGTCCCTAGTTACATAGTGTCACAATTTTAACTTACCTAACTGGTTGTCTTGAGCCCACTTTTTGTTTCCATATTTAGCAGTTAGTTTCCTAAGATACCCTACAAGTTTGTTATGAGCATCACACATCTCTCTAAAGTCTAAACATCTACTTTCTTTCAACTTTGATTCAGCTTGCAGACTTTGCAAATGTTCCAAAAAAGGTTGTTTCATCATACATCACTGAGCATTCAATATTGGAATCCGTGTCAAAATTGTTGCCTAAAAATGTTTTGCAGGACAAATTTGAAAAATGACCCTGCAAAGCATTTTCCTGACCTTCACCTACTTTCATCTTCTTGTCCTCAACAATTCTTATACCTGGTTCAGCACCATCTTTGTTAGCACAACAATTCTCACTAGATTTCTGTACTGAATCACTTGTTCTCAATTCCAGCACATCGTTTTCTTCAATAGATTTCTCTGAGCCACTTGACACTGTCAGCTGGGTGATCTTCTCTTCTTTAAAACAGCTACCTATTTCTGTTGATTCTTTGGCTTCTAATGCAGTGTCAATAGCTTGTGTATTATCATCTCTACTGGTTTCACTTCCAGCCTTATAGTCTGATTGATTATTACCCTCCACAGGTTCTTGTTCTGACTTTATGTCAACTTTGTTGGTAGTTATGTTTCCAACATCTTGTGGTGATGATTCAGTTATGTTCATTCCTTCAGAACAGATACCTGCTTTGATAGATTCATCTGTTGCTTGAGTTGGATCACATACTCCTGTTTCAGCTGAAAAGAAAATAAGTTTTAGCAGGTATTTAACAATAGTACGCAAACAAAATACACCAAACAAAAATACCTTCAATTTTCTCCTTCCCATGTAAGGGTTTTTCAAGTAATACTGTCCCAGGAAAAACCATCAAATTAATTTTATTCAATCTTTGCCTTTCAATGTCATCAACAAGTGTGAATCCAAATCCCTTAGTCCATGTCTCTACCAAATCTGGAATGGCGGATATAACAAGCTTTTCCACCTTGACAGATATTAACATCTGCTAATGACAGATAAATTTAGAAAACACAAAAAGGCAAAATGAAGCAAGTGTGGGAACATTTCAAACTCATAACTATGTTATTGTGAAAAGTCACTAACTGCAAATCTATAACAATTCTCGAAGAATAATTATTTTGATGGACAACGGAATAATATTCAAACAAGAACAAAGTGACTATTTCTGATCCGTTTTAGTTTACTAAACTTTTTGAACAAATACATAAAACTAAAGCTAAATTATACCTGTTGAATAGCATTCACAAGGAGTCGGCACATTCCCTGGCGACGATACTGACTACAAGTTGCAATTAGAGGCATCTCTGCTACTGTAGTTCCGTGCACCCTGTGAAGATGTAAAGGCTTGAGAACAATGCAATAAAGCAGAAATACCATCTTGTATTAAATCAAAATAAATGTAACTAAAACATAATACATTTATAAATCAACTGGAAGGGTAAGCTTGAGCTTAAGTGAATGACATTTAAAAATTGTCTTTGCATATTAGTAAATAGCTAAAATACAACCATTGCACATGAAGGACGAAAAAGGATTTAAAAAAAAAAAATCTACCATTAATTCCATGAGGAAAATATCTATATTTTAAGTTTTACCTGATAGATGCTGCAGATATTAGCACATCCTGTTTCTCCAATACCACAGTGTAAAACCCTTGAAAATTCAGTCGAGCAAACTCAGACCTGAAATTACATGGAAATACAGCTTCTCAAATCAAAATAAAAACAGAGAAGAGGAAAAACAAAAAACAAAAACAAAGAGAAATGCATTTTAAAAAGAGTACGGGAAAGGAGATTATTTGGACCCATGCAAATAATGAAGCACATAAAAACTGGACAAAAATTTATCATAGGGAAGAGGCACTAACCCCCAGTTGTATAAAACTTGAGGTATCATGTGGATGCCAGTTCTTGGATCAAACATTGACACAAAACACTCCTCCATTATAGTAAGAGCAACAGCTAATTTTGTATTGCATACTGCCTTTAGGGCAAACCACTGTGCAGAATGAACCTTTTGGTCATCATGGATGCATCTAAGAAGCATCCATGAGGTGCCATCAGCAACTTGATTAACTAACCCCACCTGAGATTGGAGTCCAGTGTACACCTGCACAAACCAGAGTCTCGGGTCCTTAAATAAACTATAAACTGCTAGGATAAAAGCATTCTTATGTAATTTTACTGCTAGCGAGCTTTTGCTTGTACTAATAGTGTGTACTTGACCTAATTATTAATTTAAATATAGGAGTACTAGGTCAGAATATCATAAGACATTATAGTATTAATAATAGTGTTCATTGCCCACAATGATAATGAATATAGTGTTCATTGCCCACAATAACTGGCAAGCTTTTGGGATAGTTGACTCAAAGTTTCATCTTTTAAATGTTAGTGAGAATTTTTAACTTCTCTCATGGGGTGAGTAGGTAAAAAAATAAATAATTAAAAAAAATGATTCCACAGTAGACCTAAAAAGGAAAGATATGCTAGAGGAAAATATGGCTCAAAAAGCTGTCAAATTCGTTCTGCCATTGGATATAGACAAATGACATGGAAACTTCGATTTATATTGTTCTCAATTATTATAACTAAAAATATATTTAGACAGAAGAATTTAATTTTTAAGTAGATCACAATACCACATTTTGTTTAACAAATCATACAATCAAGACTACATTTAAAATTTTTAATCTTATACATGTCTAAAAAATACCTTTTAGAACTATATTAACCACCTAATAAAATTTTTAATCAGATAACCATCATTTAATGTGCCAAAAGTTGGCTAACATTTTGAAATATACACCAAACTATTAAAAAGTTTAAAACAAGATTTTCAAATTACAGACCGTGAAAATGACCGACTCACATTACAAGCCCCTAGATTATCATGCAATATAACAGACAATTACCCAACATTCTGCTAAATTCAAGAAATCCATTTCAAATGGAACTCTGGAAATTTGAGAACAATTACCTCCTGACAACTTTGACCACAAAACCAAGTGTCTGAAACTGCTCCTTCTTGTTTATCTCTATCTTGCAGGCATTTCTCATGATCTATTTATATAAAGGTCATAGTAGTCAGATGGAATCATTGAAGCATTTAGAAAGGGAAAAAAAATGCACAAACTTTCAGATCAAAGAAATCTTTATTCATAATCAAGTTATGTAATTACTTATCATAATAAATTAATAATAAGGGCAGCTGCGATCACGAGCTCCCATTATTGTGGCAATTAAAGAGACTTAGATATACACAAACCAACCTCCAAAATAATAACAATAGCAACAATAATAAATAAAAATTGTAGTAATGACAATAATCAAACAAACAAATTGCTTAGCCATTATACAAATCAACATTGCAATTATTCAAAGAAGATCAAACTCAAATTAATTGTGTTTACATGGAATGATTCAACTAGTTGTCTATCTACACTCTACAAAGAGATTTAAACCATAACATTGGTTATGTCATAATACAACATGAATATACAGGGCATACTTACATTTATGTTCACACTGTGAACATTGTAATGAATCATGCGCATCTGAAGTGTCTTTATCAATGACCAAATTTCCACATATCCTACAAGTGCAGTTTGGGCAGTACCAGTTGCCATCTGGAATCTCCTGATGTATGAAAGCAAAAAAAAATAAAAAATTATATCATTCTTCCAAGTAGGGCATAATACAGTACATAAATAGGAATGGCAGAGGAGCATGTTATAACAACCACTTAATACCAATAGCATGTTTGAATTCCCAAAACAAATTAAAAAATATATATTCGAAATGATGAGGAAAAGAAGAAAAAAAAATCAACAGTAGAAAAGATAGAAACTAGCATAAACCTGAGAGCACACAGACCTTAGTGGACAAACAAGCTAGGTGAAAAGTAGACGGACAGTTATCACAACATATCAGCTCACCCCCCTCACCGCACAACCCACAAGAATCATCATTTTTATCATTATCATCAGCATGCACTGCTTGATTCTGGCTTTTCCTGGCTTTGTATTCAGCTGACCAAGCTTGAAGGAGGCACAGTGTAAACGGCTCGCCAGACTCCATGAAAATATTCAAGCAAGGGCGATTCAGAGTAAACCCAGCATGAAACTTGAACTCTGATAATGTAAGCACCTTATCACAACATGTACAAATAATACCATCTTTGGTGATCCTACCATCCTTAATGACAACATTATCCTTAGGATTTCGGTATTGAATCACATCATTTAAAGATATGACCCCATTCTCAATCAACCAGGATAATATTGTCCTTGTACCCAAATAAAACCTATTGCAGTCCTTATTGTACTTCCCTCCATTACAGGGGTTCCTTGGTAACAACCTGCAACGGCCCTTTTGGCTTTTAAGCTTTCTCTGGCTCCTTGATTTGCAGGATTTAGCTCTAGAATTACTCCGAATTGTCTTTGGGCTGAAGTCCTTGTTCCTGAATATTGCCGACACCAATAAATCATCGTCTTTAATCTTGCATCTGTTAGACTTATCTGTTCCAGTTATGGAGCAGTTTGTTTTCCTAATATTTCTCTGGAATGCACTAACAGATGACAACTTTCTGCAGTTTCTTTTCTTTCCCGCATTGTCAACTACATAATCTTGGATCTCCTCCAATCCACATGCTTCATCATTTGGCAACTGCACCAGGTCAGTAACAGTTGAGCCCATCATGCCACTATGGTAGAACATACTCAGTTTGATTTCAGATACCCTTTTGCACTTCCTCCGCATTTTCTTTTTAGGAATAACATTAGAAGCAGAATATGTGTTACCTTTCCCAAATACAGAATCTACTGAGATTTTCACACCCTCTTCCTCACTACATTCAGACTGTTGCATACCCCTTGAGTCACGAGAATGAACCAGGTCATGGCTCACACCATATGCATTATTTTCCGCTGACATGTCCATTGACACATCTCCATCGATATTTTTATTTGTTTCCAGATAATTTCCTGAGCTCTGATTATCAACACTTTTAGACCCTGCAGGTACCAGATTTGAATTTCCAGGGCCTGAATCAATGGGAGCACATGCCACCTTATACTTGCTAGAAACTAAACTCCAACTTGCTTTCACTACCTCTCCCTTTTTCAGCACACCAATCTTTCTATCAACAAATATAACTACCACAAAAGGATCCAAAAGCCACCATTGATAAGCCAATATAACAGCAGGGTCTTCTGACCGGGACTTTGTTTTTTCAACATTTATCAGTGCATTGGATAGATCAGACCAGAATTGACTAATATCAGTCCATTCCTTATAATCTCTGAACTTTAAATTGCATTTTTCAACAGACAATAGCTGACCGCATAATCTCCAAGCTTTTGTAAACTCCCGAACAGGCTTTCCTTCTGGTGTCCTATAAACCGACTCCATGTAACGCCTACTAGGTCGTTTACGTTTCTCAATAGACCATCCTGCCATCCTAAGCAACTGCACAACATGAATCTGCAGTATAGTACGAGGGTCCTCTTCCTCTAGCTTTGAAAATGAGTTTGAGATATCCACATTAAAAGATTCTGGCATTTCATCAGGATTTAAAGGAGACCCTGACTTCTTCACAACAGCGGTTGAGGGACTTGTAACTACAAGCCTGTTTGCAAAGCTCTCTTGGGAAACAGGAGAAGCAACAGCTTTACTTATAGACCCCTCTTTTGCAACATTTCCATCTGCAATTGTTGAGTTAAAATTTGTAACATCTACTTCATCCTTAGTAGCTTCTTTATTGAACAAGTCATTATTCAATAGATAACTTGATATCACACCATGTTTAGATGATTCAACTAAATGAAATGCAATTGGTTCACTATCACAGTCTGTAGCAGCATGAGACACGTCAGAAACAACTAATTTTGAAAGTCGTGATGAACTCAAATTTTTTTCTGAATCAGACCTACTACAAGCAAGTTCATGCAGAGAAAATTTCATTCGTTTGACATTCACATCCTCGTCATTCTGGTCTTCACAAATGTAACTCTCTGGCACACACCCCAGAGCAGTCTCTTTGGAATGCTGAATTACATTAAAGTCCTCAGTGGGTGTAAATTTTGAAGATGAGGGATGCAATACAACTGAGTTTTCATTACTAGAGCAGAATGATTTAAGCGTGCTTTTAGTGGATTCATGTTCAAAGCTGATAGCTCCAGAAACAAGACACTTCTGACTAGACTGAAAATTACCAGAAAAGACATCTGAAAAAATCTGTCTTTCTTCATTAGACCCTTCAAAGTTATCTTCACATAAATCGTCTATTTCAGTGTTGATCAACATCTCTACTGACAAGTGCAGGTTCACCATACAATTTCTATTGCAGGTCTACATATTGGCACCATTACAAAAAGCTACTTTGCCATATTGTAAACCAACTTATGAAGAAGCCATTTCTTCAGCCATAAATTACTGGCTGACAAACTTCATTATGCAGTCCCCAATTAATACAAATAAAATCTCCTGGTAAAGGCTTTAGAATCTGCATAAGAAAGTGAGAATGTTATTAAACTGTCATTCAAAATTATAAGATCCAAAACAAGCTTTAACTTCTTAATTCATTGTCAAAAGAAAAAAACTGGAAGATAGGTATCATTCAACAACGATATTAATGAATCACGTAAGTATCATATTCAATTTTTGGCATCATTTTCCCTCAGCCACAGTTGCATTAAACACAAAATTGAAATGTAAATGAGGTGAAAGATTATCAGACATCAGTCACACAATCAATTTTGCACCTATGAGCATCCATCACAAGGATGCATTAAAGGATTCTCTCTCCCTCTTCACAAAAAATCTGAATATCCTATCATCATTAATAAAAAAATGTAAAGCAAAAAAAGGTGCGGGTAAACTATATGAACAAACAAGAAGCCACCAACATAATTAAAGCATTTAAACACCTAAATAAGGAAAATTTTAGTTTTGGAATACGGTAGCTTCCAGTTTATCTTCTAGTTACGGAACTACCATTACTCTTTTTGGAGCATCGGCATGCATTGCCTAACTCCCTAATAAGACCAGGCAAAGCAATAACAACATCTATTGTTTGCCCACAATTCACCACGGGACAAGGAATCAGAATTTAGAAATAATTTATTTTTCAAGCAACAATGCTTTCAACGTAGAAAGAGTCTCATTTCTTCCAATGCAGTTACCTGATCTAGAAATAGTGCTATAGTGGGTACTCTTCTTCCAAATTATTAACTAGAAATGCCTCATTGCACTCTTCTTCAAAATATTCATCAAGTTTCCCTTGCTAAAATAATTAAAGCTCAACATAGAAATGATGGGCTATGGTCTATACAATATTCTCTGCCAATATTTGCAAAATTTATCAATACTTCCTAACAAGCACCACAGAGCACACGAACAAATGCAAAGGTTGACATGAATCAAAACGCACATGCAATCCTACGAAGTCTATGGTTTGCACGAAAACATACTTTTCCAAAGTTTAGGAAACCATCAGTTGCCATCAAGCTTCAAAAGCTAAAATTTTAGGAACATTTGGTAAGACACCAAAATTTAGATTTAAATAAAGCAACATTTAATACACCTTTTATGCTTTTAATTATTCTAAAAAAATCAAATTTCATGTTTTCGATATAATAAACGCTCTCATTTTCATTAAATACTTAACATTCCCTTGAATGAAAAACCAACAAACACATTAGTTGCGCAAATCACTTGAAAGAGATAGAGAAACCCTGAATTCCGGAACCAAAGTGAAGCACATAAAACCCACATGCATGAGTAGAGAAGCAACATTGGGGCACAGAACAAACACCAGGTCCAGAAATGGAAGACAAAACCCAATATCCAAAGCCAAAAGAAAAAAAAAAAAAAAAAAAAAACTCACTTTTTACACAGATCACAATCAATCCTACCCATCTCAGATTCTCGAGAAAGCAATTCACACCGCCAAAAAAAAACAATCTTTTCAACAAACAAACACGACCCAGAAACAGAAACCCTTTTCACGGTAACGAGGCACCCACCAGAATTAGGGTTCCTGAAAATCGCAGAAGGCAGGAATTGCAAACTTGCTTGGCTTCATTTCAGACCTAAACCCCACCAGAAATAACAAGAGCTCCGGAAAACCCAACAATGCTACCACACTGTAACAGATGGCAAACACAAAAGGAAACACACACCCTTTCTCTCTCTAAAACATGTCTCTTTCTCTCTCTCTAGGAGCATCTACCATGTGAGTGTTGTGTGTACAGTTGTAGCCTCTTTGATTAGCACTATGCCTTGTCCATTTCTACCTATTATTTTAAAAAATAAATAAAAATAAAATAAAACCCTTTTGAATGAAGCACCTAGGCTCCCATTCCCAAATGGGCCCCCATTAAGGAAATTCATTCCTCTTTCTCCTTCCCATGCAATGTGTGCTCAAGGTAGGAAGGGACACAGGCTACAACATTTTTGTGTTCATTTTTTTGCGGCAAATAATGCTACATATGACATGACTAATTCAATTTCACTTATTTTTTTTACCTAGTGTGTGTGTGTTTCGTGGCTCCATTAGGAAGAAGCATGCACGTGTGTCACTTCTCATCACTTTCACTTGCATCTTGTCTGAGAGGCACGTGTGCTACCCAGTAACCACTTCTCTTATAGTTTTGAGTTTTGACCATGGCTTAATATTTAGAAACTTTCACAAGATGGATCATGTTTTAGTCATTGTTACATGTTCGGTTCTTTTGTTAAGTCACAGAAGATGTTATTATTTTGTGTTTAACAGTCATGTACATTTAATGTTTTTTTTAACTATAGATAGTTTTTATAAAAGAGATTGTTTAGATAATTTTTTTTAAAATTGATAAAAGAATAAGAGAGAAGCTTCATGAAGTAAAAACTCTTTATATTTTTATATACTATTTTATTATAATGTTTCTAAAAAAATCCAAATAAAAAACTAAAATCAACTATCTTACTGTACATCATTTATATCCTGTTTTCTCTGCTATCTTTCATGTCATATCACAAGATCTTGTAGCATGTTTAATATCTGGAAAATTCACAAGTTGGAAATTTTACTTATAAAAATTATGAAAATCAAACTAATTGTAAACTTTATGCATGAGTTTGGTATTTATGCATAATTTGTGGGGAAGAAAAAAATATGAGCGGTGGGCACGACAGTCTAGAAGAAAAAAAGTAGGGCTAATGATTTTCCTTGAATTGGAAGCAGGGAAGTTGTCATATAAACTAAAGTATTGAAATTTTTTATTTATTTATTAAAATTACAATAATAATATCAAATTTTAAATATAATAATTTAAATTTATGTAAATAAAGTATTGAATTAGCTGAAGAGATTGTTTGTGATGCTCATTACAAATACACTATAGATTTTAGTATTTCCTTTATTCATTTAATGGTCATATATTTAATATAAGAAGTTTTATACTTTTTTTAGCCAATTAAAATTATTGCAATATAATTTATATGATAATTATCGTAAAAATAAACCAAATTATCGCAGATTATAGCTTGTAATTAAATCAGGGCATGAAATTATATACTGACGGTGAATAATTTTTTTATATAAATTTCATTCTGCCATTGGAGTTATTGCTTTCATAAATAATGATGCTTTTGGGGACCAAACAACTACAGAAGTACTTTTCCAAATTTGGCAATTTCACAAGTCATAATTGCGAGGTTGAATAGATTATTGTATTATTAATTATTAGATACTATATATAACAACCGTGCAATGCACGCTATATATAAAAAATGATTTATTGTTAATTAATATTTTTATTTTATGAGTGTTAAATTCAGATTTTAAACATAATTTATCGGTTAAAATAGAAGTTATCAATTATAATTTTTATATTTTAAACATAATTTTTGTTTCGATTTACGTTTTTGGATCAAACATGTACTTTAGTATTAATATATGTGATTTAAAATTTTATTTCTTATAAAATAATTTAATATAAGTATTTTATGTGTTTTTTCATGAAATGATTAATTTTAGTGATACAAATAAATATTTGAGTTAAAATAAATAATTTTTAAACATCCTAAGAAATGATTTATTGTATAACTTTTAATTAAGATAAAGTGTTTTAAATAATTTATTTTGACTTTTATAGATAGAAAGATAAAATAATAATAAATAAATAAATAATTTGTCTAAACAAAGTTTTTAGACACCAATTTTGCGGTAGATATTAATTAGTAAAAGGTATTTTACTTTTTATTAAAAAATATTGGTAAAAATGTTTGATCATGTAAAATAAATATTTATTTCCATGTGTTGTACTGTAGTTTATATAGCTTATAAATTAAGCCTGAATTCTTTTAGTAGTATTTTAATTTTTATTAGAAAAAAAATTGATAAAAATGTTTGTCCCGAAAATTAAGTACAAAATTATCAACTTGTTTTTTATTAAAACTAATTTTCATCTCATAAGTTAAGCATAGCCTCTTTTTCATATATTTTCATTTATCATTTCTTATGATGTGCAAATAAAATCATATAAGTTTGTCTTTTACCTGGTGGGTTAATAAAGAAAGAAGACTTTTGGGTTGCATTGCAAATTTGAATTTGCATTAGTTCCTCACTTAAGTGCAGTTGTATATGGCACGAAACAAAAATTTTACATATGTACTTGGTATGGTGCATTGTTCTATTCTTGAAAAAAAAAAGATAAAGATAAAATTAACTAGCAAGCATTTTAGCTAAAAGCTTAGAACGAATGAAATAGTATTTTGCATTGTGATAATTGTGAAGATAATTTTTTCCTTTTTCTATATAGGTAAAAGACTGAAAGGTGATAAATATATATTAGAAAAATTATGATAAAGAGTAATGTTCCTGTGTTAGGATACACCCTCCAGTTATCCTTGTTGTAGTAGGTCGGGTCTTGGGTCTCGGTCTTCTCGTTCAATCCGGATGGTCCGAAGCGAGAGGGATCTCACGAATTGATCTCCCTTCCTTTCATGGCAAGGAGGATGTGGATGCCTACTTGGATTGGAAATGAAAGTGGAGCAAATCTTTATTTGTCACCAAGTAAGGGAAGAAAGAAAAGTTCCCTTAGCCACCTTAGCTTTCCAAGGACAAGCTATGTATTGGTGGACAGCCTTAGTGAGGGAAAGAAGACTCCATAATGATCCATCCATTGAGTATTGGAATGATTTCAAGAGTGCTATGAGAAGAAGGCACGTATCTTCTTATTATAGTAGGGAGCTTATGTATAAGCTCCAAAGACTCCAACAAGAGAATATGAGTGTGGAGGAATATAGACAAAAAATTGAGTTGTATTTGATGAAGGCTGGAATAAGGGAAGAAGAAAGATTAACCATAACCCGATTCTTGAGTGGTCTAAATTTTGACATAAGAGATAGAGTTGAGTTACTCCCTTTTAGGGACCTTGATGACTTGGTCTAACTTTGTATAAGGGTAGAACAACAATTTCTTAGAAAATCTTTTAAAAATATCAACTCTAAATCTTATGTCAAGAAAGATTACAAGAGGGAGGAACAATTTTCAAAATATGATTCCTTTAAGAATTTTGCCAAGAGTCAAGAAAAAGAAAAAAGACAAAGAAAAAGAAAGAAAAGAGAAAGTTTTACTAGGGAAAAGTGAGGATGAAGAGGTCTCCTCCAAAGAACTTGTGACTAAAGAGAGTTACGTTATCACCAAGCAACCATTGAAAAATACTCTCTTTGTTCATAAGGGTCTTAACTCTCACCCTAATACTGCCACTACTCATGAAGTTGAGAATGAAAAACAAAACAATTTTCAAGAAAATAAATCTCAACTTCAAGATATAGTTAAGAAGGAGAGGATTATTTCTAGTCCTACTTATTATGCTACTTTCCTGGAGGTACCCAAGGAAGATAGTTTTTCTGTTTTTAGGAATCTTTCTTCCTTAGTTGTTTTCATAAAACACCCAAGTTTTGGCTTATATTGTTTATTAGATACATCTTATAGTGTCTCATATTCTATTTTTGATCTTAGGGGAAGTTCATCTTCATTTGAACTTAAAGTGATTTCTTCCCTACAAGATAAACATAGTTTATATGAGTTTCCAAAATTCCATGGGGCACTATCTTGTCCTGACTATCTAACAAACAATAAAATCCAAAATTTTTTAGGAAGTTTTCTAGTAGTATTTTCTTTATATTCTAGGAAACGCCTAGGTCGCCATTTAGGGTACCTTAGGCAAGATGTTTTAGTTTATAGGAATAACTCTTTCCATTGTATTAGTCTTAGTTTTATTACATTTTTAGGATTTCATTATAGACTATGCTTAGGAGAGGATCCTATCCATAACTTTAGGGAGTTTAGTTTCACTAGTGTAAGTTTCATTGCTAGGCTAGATAGAAGGATTACTCTTAGGTTACACAATCCATTTTCATCATTTGAATATATCACCTCTTATACATGGTATTTTGTGCATGTAGGTGATGATCTCTATCAAATAGACCCTTGTGATTTGAGGACAAATCCTTTTCAAGAGGGAGGGGATGATGGAATCATGCCTAGGAGGGCAAGAGGTCACATCTTGAAGGAACCAAGAGGAATGGGCTAGACATGAAGATTTGGGCCAGTCAAGGCCCAATGGGCCCGATGGGCCTGGAAGGCCCAATTTGTTCTTCACATGGGCCACACCTTGAGATATCCATTTTCTTTTATTTTTTATATATTATATTATTATAGGTTTCATATGTTTTGGTCTTGTATTTTGGACCACATAGAGTAGCATTTTAGGTTTTAGGCTTGTTGGGCCTAGTTTTGGGCTTCATGGGCCTTTGGGCTTTTGGTACCCAATATTGGGCTCATTTTCATTCTTGTAATTTTTCCTTTCCATTGTATTTGTTTG